GATTGCACTGTCACCAATGGGGATCTCTGAAACCACCTGAACCGCTTCAAATTAAGTCCCGGTTTTCGCCATAAGGATGATATGCAATCCTCAAAAGCTAGAAAGGAAGAAGGAAATCCAGATAATGGAATCTCACTTCTAGAATTTCCCGAAGATCCCTCAGGGAAAGGATTCCGCATGACTGAGGATTGATTTGAATGTACTAAACTGGAAATGAAAAAACCGCATATTTTAGTTATCATTACCCCACAGCAGGTGCAATGGCTGAAGGATCTCTCAAGTAGAGGTATTTCGAACGACGACACGCACAACCAGTGATGGCTTTGAACCGAGGGATGCAGCTATTCTCGCACGTAATGATATCAGTTGTCATCAAAAGGACTAGAAGAATTGAAATGACAGTCTTTAGGCATTTTTACTGAGCGCATCAGTGACTGCAGTGGATGTGGAAAGTCTTTTCCGTGGAATCCGAAGTGTTGCACCTCGGTTTGATTCTAATCAAGTAGCCACCGACGAGGCGCCATGATTTTACAATGGTTTTCGATCGATGTTTCCCTGACTCAAGGGCAAAGCTACCCTGCAGCAGGTGGTACATTGAGAAAACATGACAAAGAAAAGTCAACAAACTGGTCGTGGTTGGTCCCCTACAATATCCTTCTTCCTCTCTTTTCGGCCTGGGTTGCGCAGTCGTTTGAAGGAGATGCTGAGGGAACTTTTGACGATATAGGACTTATCCACGTCTAAGCAGCGGTTAACTGAAATTTTTGCTTAGCTTCGAGTAGAAGGCTAATGTAGGATGGAAGACTACTTGAAAAAGATTTGCTGAGGACTTCATTCTTGAATAAAGATGCGGCGATAGACACGATCATGATTAGTGAGAGATAGCATCTGCGACTTAAACGGAGTTTCTTCATAGAAACACTAACACTAGAGCAGATTGCCTGGCTGACTTACGAATTAAAGCTGTAGAGGAAATATAACATTCAGTTGAAATCAAGGCATACCACATCCATTAAATTTTAATGAGTATTTCAGTTAGTTATTATGGTAAGTCGTTGACTGGCCATATCGTCCTACGCACTTCGCAGACCACCAGGTTTCATCATCAGACTAGAAGGCAATTGGGCAGCTTCAGGATCGTGAGGCAAATGAATTGACAAGATTTTGAGTGCAGTAGTTCTGCGGAAGATAACGTTCACTCCCCTCTGGCACGTATGTCCGTACGCATGGCCGTGCACTTGCACGGATAAACGCACTGAAATCAGCTGCATTCACTGCCATGTTATAATGCTCACCAACAAGCCAGTTATCAAAAGAACGGCTGGAAGCTTCGTGGATATACGAAGCCAAGAAGAAGAACTGCAAGGGGATCATGGCAAACCTATTCTATCGTCATCTTCGGTAGAAGTAAGTGGCGCTCAAGAACGATTAGAAAGGAGAAGCCAACTTTGAAGCACAATCAATTTGAGGAATGTTTCCTTAAAAGGCCATGATACACAAATATAACATTTTTCCGGAAGATATCGGTTCTGCAAGCTAATGTGATTGCCCTTGTTAATACAGACAATGAAGGGGCAATGGGGTTGCTCACAGAAATCAACGATTCAGTAGGCGAAGTAACCTGGGGATGCGTCCTTTCCACGGGGTATGCGGGGCCGTGGCGAGGATAGAGCATGCCCATAAGAACAGCTATAAATATAGCTGTCATATTCTTTTTGTGAGCATGCCCATAAGAACAGCTATAAATATAGCTGTCATATTCTTTTTGTAACTACTTCC